TTTAGGGGCCCTGGCGGGGTTTGGCCACCCCTTTATTTAGATTTCCAAATTTTTTTTTTTTTGTTGGGGGCCCCCCCAGGGGGCGCTGGGGAGCCCGATTCGGAGGAAGGTGTCTGCGTGCGCGAGCGGCGTCTGCGGCGAGGGCGAGGCTTGCGGCCGAGGCGCGAGGGGGGGAGGCGTGGCGGTCGGGAGGGAGGCGGGATGGAGCGGCGGCATCGCCCACGGCCTGCCCGCCGCCGCCGCCGCGACCGCCAGAGAAGACGACTCCCCCGTCGACGACTCTGCATCGGCGAGCGGCGACGTTGGAGCCGTCGGAGCCGCCACCGGCGCTGCGGCGTTGGGCCACGGCCGGGCCAGGGCCGGCAGCTGCGCTGGCTGGAGGGTGCGCGCGACGCGAAAGATGACTATCCCGCCGGGCGCGCACGGGATGCCGACGAGGCCTGGCAGCTCCGGGTCCATTGGCCCGCGCTCCTCGCGGAGCACGACCAGCTTTGGGCCGAGGCATCCTGACGTTTGGTTGACGATGCGATGCGCCGGCCACGAGGCGGCGCCGGGGCGCGGTTCATTCCACACGCCCGATCCGTGGTGGTTCGCGGGCGAGAGCGCTGGATCGAGGACCACGAGCACGCGGGACGCCGGCACGGCGACCCCATGCTTAAGGCAATGGCCGCAGAACCGCTGCCGAAACGCCGCCGAGTTTGGCTCGGTGAGGGTGCACGCGGAGGACCCGATGCCAATCTCTTGGCCCCAGCATTTGCCGATGCCTAGCTTCCGCTTACCCGTGAGGGTCGCCTGCATGTGCTGTGCCGCCGTGCTGTGCTGTGCTGTGCCGGTCCAGCCCGGGCAAGAGAGTGTAGTGCCGAAGGCGCTCTTTTTATCGAGTAGTCGAGAAGTAGCCTGTGAATAGCGTCTGGGAACGCTCAGAAACACCCCCCCCCCCTCTCTCTCGCTCGCTCGCTCTCTCTCACAGCTTGGGCCGTCGAGCACCGCCGCCACGCCGTGGTCCTCGCGTATTGCCATCGGCGCCACCGATCGCTTCCTTCCGCGCGTTCGTCGCGGGATCGTACCGCTCCACCGGAGCTGAGGAAGTCGTGGACTGTAAGCCTCACCTAAGATTCTTTTCTGTCGGCGCCGGTCCCTTTACTTTCCGCTGTGGTGTCTGGGAAGTCACTGGCTGGTGCGAACCGCCCGCCTGCGCGCGTGTGCGCCCCTCCCCTCGCGGCGGGCCCCGAGGCGGCCGGCCGGTCGCCAAAACACACACGCTTAAAACACACGCGCGCACACACGCACAGCTCTGTCTGCGTCGTGATGCGCAGAAAACTGCGTGATGCAAACTCGTCCCTCGTGCACGCGCAGGCGCACCGATGGCGACCTCAAAGAAGATTGAGGAAAAGTACCAGAAGATGCTCAAGGAGATCCAGAAGCGGCCAGAGAACCGCCACTGCTTTGACTGCAGCGGCCGCGGCAACCAGTACGTCGTGCTCAACTACGGCGTGTTTGTGTGCACCACGTGCTCGGGCATTCACCGTGAGGAGCAGCACAAGATCAAGTCGGTCGGCAACCTTCTCCACCGAGGAGATCAAGGCGCTCGAAACCATCAAATTTTCCCGAAACATTTTTCTCTGCGTATTTTATTAAACTTCTTTTCTGGGCTAACGAACCCCTGCCACATTGTGAAGTGGGCAGAAAGAAGGTGTGAATAGACAGGCGGATCGTGTGTGAAGAGACGCCATGTCATCGGACCCCAAACCCGTCGGCGGCCCGTGGCACAAGGCCGCGCGCGGGGAGGTGTTGTCCCCCCCCCAAGGGCGAGCGAGGAAACGCTCGTGCCTCAGCTGTTCACGGCATCAGTGCCGGACCCGCGTACCGTGCAGTTTCATTCGGTTCCTCTTGGTAATTTTGAGATACCGGGAGATCAGATACCGGGAGATACCGGGAGATACCGGGAGATACGAGATACGGGCAGATACGGACAGAGGCGGGGAGATGCGAGGAGATACGGGGAGATGCGAGGAGACGCGGGGAGATGCGGAGAGATACGGGGACGGGGAGATAGAGGGAGATACCGCAAAATAACCGGCCAAACCGCGGGCACTTGGAGCACTTGGAGTGCAGTCATCAGCCTCACATCCAGGGCCGGGGAGCTAAGGAGCGCACCCAGCAGGCCGGATGATCGGGATCGGGTTGCGGGCAAGAGAGCCCTAGCCCCGGGGGTGCGCGTTCGCAGGGAAAGGGCCATAAAGTAAAGAAAAAGAAAGAAAACATGTCGAGTAGAGGGGGCGTTCTGCAGTTAAGGGGAAACCCGGTACACGGGGCCAACACTCGGAGACCCGTGTTTACTTTACAGCCCTTGCCCTGCGAACGCGCACCCCCGGGGCTAGGGCTCTCTTGCCCGCAACCCGATCCCGATCATCCGGCCTGCTGGGTGCGCTCCTTAGCTCCCCGGCCCTGGATGTGAGGCTGATGACTGCACTCCAAGA